ATTGTGGTGGAATATTGTTATTATATGACACAATTTCCTAATATCAAAATACCAAATTGAATGATTAGGTTTTAATAAATAACGAGCTTCGGACAGCGGCTTTGCCCACGTTTCCGTGCAAAAAGTTAGTACTATTCTATGTTATTTCTAACCATAATCTATTCTTCTTCCAAATTTCAATCCGAACCCTTCAGTCGTTTTGACGTGAAAGAGTAACAAACAAACAAACAAACAAACAAACACACACACATACATCCTCACAAACTTTCGAATTTAGAATATTAGTAGGTTTAGTAGAATAGTAGGAAGTAGAATGAACATTTTTTTTGTGAAATTAAAAAGCTATGAGGGAATTTTGAAACTATAATTTAATCAATTTAGTTATATGAAAGAAAGAAAGAAAGAAAAACCATTTATTTTGCTACGACACACAACAAGAATTTAAAAACAACAAAAATGTGTTCTGGCTTCGCATCAACCACTTCATTTCCCTGCACTTCCCTATGGTTGACTGTAAGAGAATGCCTTAAGGCATTAAGTCCGTCATTCACTCTATTTTGTGAATAAGAAAAAAATAAAAATAAAAAAATAAACATGGTGCGTCGCTGCGCAAAAAAGTATACTTTAAACAAGTGTTCCCATTATTCCATATTGACTAATAACATACTAAGCCCTAAGCCCTAAGCCTGTTTATTATTACAAACATGTACACGACTGAAAATTAAATTCAACGTAAAAGAGTTACAAAACAAACAAAATAATAATAGAGTTATACTAAAATGAATTCTAAAACGACTAATTTAAATTCACATTACAGTGCAGGCAATCAGTCTTAATTTTTATGTAAATTTAAGTATGTATAATATTATGTATATACGTGGTAAAATTGCTACACTGTTCTTCTGACCCTAGAGGCTCATTCATCAAAACAGGCATAATCTTGTTTCCATCCCAACACGGACACATTGAACGATATTTTTTATTCATTCATTCATTCATTCATTCGTTCGTTCGCTTTTATTTTTTATATCGCCGAAAACATTCATTTATTTCCGCGCGTTTTGAGTGAATTGTTCTCGAAATTTCGTGTGTATTTATTATGACATATTAAGTTATTAAGCAGGGTTCTGAATGGTTTTATTTACGGCGTATATTTTAATATTTAAGCTTGGGCATGTAAATATTGTATACAATGTATTGTATAAAATATAAATCCTTTGTTGCAGTTATTGTAAATGAGAAAACATACTGAGTAAGTCTTCACGTTGAAAAAGTGATGTTTCAGTATTTGTAGTATAGACTTTAGGGTTGTCGCGGAGAACCTAACGGGTAACCGGGGCTCCGGCTCGACGTGCAGAAGAAGGAACGGGGTGGTTTTTAGTCAGTAAGAGTCTGACACTCCCTTCCGCCTCACTCAGGCTCCCGCCTGAGTCAAGAAGTCATTCGATTTTCCGCGCTTAAAAAAAAGACGGGTTAGAGTTCTCTCTGACAATGATATTGCTATAAAATTATTGCAAGGCCCTAAATTGTAATAAAAGAAAATAATGATTAACCCCCTATACCGACTGGATAGGTAACTATGTAGTACGGCACAAGTTTAAGTAGATAACAGCTATCTTGTTAATTATGACTGACTCGTTGGCCGAGTAGTCGTAAGTGCAAGGGGTCTCGGGTTCGATTCCCGGGTCGGGCAAACCATTACTGAGTTTTTTCAGAATTTCTCAATAGTGGCACGGAGACCGGAGATGTGCCCGGTATAAATAGTGAAAAGTGGTTGTTACATTGTACAGTGGCATTAAGTGCCGTAATTTACTCCTCTGTTACCTTTTCGAGGATAAAAGGCGTGATGTTATGTTCTGTTATAGATAACAATACATTGTTAACTATGCGATACAATTTGGCTAATAAATGGTATGTATGAATAAGCAAAATCAAAACAAAATAAATGCTGCGCTGCTTTTTTTTAAGAAGAACAATTTACAAAAAAATAGCGCACGAACTGGCACGAAATGTCCGTATTCAAATAAAACCTTATTTCGCCTTTAGCTACTTAAAAATCCGGGTCAACATTTAAATATCCTGCCGGGACGATTCCCAAAATGCATATAAATCACAGAGAATAACCGTCCTCTTGGACATTGTTTTTATTGTATATCTAATGACATTACATAGAAAACACTGCGTTTAATTCTCGAGACTGTCTGTTTTAAAATGTTTAAATCAATTAGATGCAGTGTCTGAACACGAAGGTAGAAAGGAAATGGAATTTATTATCTTGGTGACGTAAATTTTACCAAAGTAAACATATTTTTTCATGGTGATAATTAATACTGCCTCGTTGGCCGAGTGGTCGCAAGTGCGACTGCCGGGCAAGGGGTCTCGGGTTGGATTCCCGGGTCGGGCAAAGTATTACTGCCTTTAAAAAAAACTCAGTAATAGCACTGAGTCTGCAATTGTGCCCGGTATATGGCAAGAGGCTCACCCCCTATTACATGGGACTCATAACATAAATAGTGAAAAGTGGGTGTTACATTGTAAAGTGGCATAATGTGCACCTCTGCTTACCCCTTTAGGGATAAAAGGCGTGATGTTATGTGTTGATAATTAATCGTAATTCTTAACAAAATAGTGTGATAAAAACAATTAGCTCGAATAAGTAAATTGCAAGCTCAAATTGCCCCTTTAGGGATAAAAGGCGTGATGTTATGTGTTGATAATTAATCGTAATTCTTAACAAAATAGTGTGATAAAAACAATTAGCTCGAATAAGTAAATTGCAAGCTCAAATTGATCATGTAGAACTAAATACATCAAACTTAGTTTATTCAGTAAACTTAGACCTAAAGTAAATAACAATTAAGGTAAGGTCATTTAGAAATTATTTACATTATCTAATATTAAAATATGTAAAATGACAAGATAAGCCAAATACGTTTAAACCAGAAAAGGTAGCATTTCGATTACTCTTCCTAATCATTAATAATGGACTTATTATTAAGCATTTAGCTCAAAAATCTAAGTAGGTCCGTAACGCAATCTATTTTTAAAACACCCTTAATAAGTCTGAAAAACTCCTCTGCTCCATAAACATCCCTTTCTAAAACTTTAACGGAAATACTTTACGAAATATTTTCGTAGGTATAAGTAAAGCATTGAAAATTTTCCATCAAAAAATTGACCTCAGCAAATACTTAACCTATTTTCATTCGCATAATTAAAGTCATCGAGAAAACTCTTCATCTCTTTAATTGCCTGAACTATATCAGTCTTTTTAATGGTAGTCATAATGTTTTAATGGATTTTTGTGCGGCTAATTATCGAAAGCCACGCGAATTAAATGTTTATAGATAAGTTATTACGGTGAGGACTTTAATCGTCGAGAGTGAAATGGGTTTTATGGTTACCGAAATGAATTTTTTGGTAGAATAATGGATTACTTTGGAATTGGAGTTTTCACTTCTTTGTCTAGCTTGATTATCTCTTGTTATTATTGTAAGACTTATGCTGGAATACTGAAACGTCTCTCAATTTAATTTCACTCAATTTTAAGTCGTGCTTAAATATCGTGCCATCTCTGTCATTTGACAAATAATATGCAGTGACAGAACTATACTTAAGCGCGACTTAAATTGAGTAACGTTTCAGTATTCCGGCATTATCTATATAAATAAAAATTAATATCCGTTCGTAAGTATCGTTAAAACTCGAGAACTGCTGGACTGATTTGGCTAAAGGTGTTGAAATGTTTGTAGAAGTACAGGGAGTTATAAATAAGATGGAAAAAAAAATTTAGGAGGTATGTAGTTTGCCGCGTCCTCTAGTTTTCAAATAAAAAAAAACGATGAAGAGGATTTTTAGTGTTCATATAAGTTGTACCTGAAATTAGATTTATCCTCGATATGCGACAATACATTTTAAAAGAAGATAGTCTTTCTATAAAATACTTTAATTTATGAAGTAGCCACCTAAACGCGACACAACATTTTTCCATGAAATTATACTTAATGTCAAAACTTTATGACATTTACATCTATATTCGCATCTTTTTCGGTTGTGTTGCCAGCCGTTAATATCAACCATAAGGAAATATTATGTGGATGCTAACAATTTGTTACACATTTACTTTGATACTACGAGACCTAAGGACGGTACATTATTTTTCTGAATCTAAACCAAAAATACATGCAATTATATACACCTATTACATTGTAAAAGAAACTGCTACATACTAAACTGAGTTCCAGCTTCAATCCAAATCATAGCTATAAAAACAACAACCATTAACTGTTCGTTCTTCACTTGTTACGCAACGAAATTAAAATAAGGATTATTTTGCGTTTAACTTTCAATTCGCCTGCATTCGAAATCCTTTACAACGTAATCGTAAAAACAGAATAACCTATAAACTGGGTTTTATTTCCTACGATAGTCATTAAATGTACAATCTTGAATTTCGATTACGTTTCGTTGTTTTTTCGAAAAGTCATTTTGATGTTCAATGAAAGATTTGTAAAGGATCAGTGATAGCTTAGCTTTCTTGTAGAAAGTTGTCTATAGCATTTAGTATTTTTATAGTGTTACTAATATTTCCTGGAAGGAAATCCATAAAATGTATTGACAATTAAACAACAAGTTGAATTTCTTTCTAAATTATAGAAAGAAATTCAACAATCCTCATATTCCTAATCCCCAAAAGGCCGGTAACGCTCTTGTAAAGCCTTTGGTGTATCCGTCGATCATCAGGGATCACCTGATAGTAAGCATCGATCGTCAGGGCGACGTCGATGGCTTACTATCAGGTGATCCCTCTGTTCGGCTTATACCATACAAAAGAACGAAAAGAATTCTTTGAAGACGTTTGTCGATTATGAAATCTCTTGGTTTAAACAAGAATAACTGCAGTTATCTCCATAAATAGTCCTAAATAAGTCTAAGTAACTTAGTAACACCAAAAACTGTTCTAAACATATCCAGCAACCTACATCAGGAAAATTACTCACGTGTAATTAAACCGGCAGAGATCCGAGTCGTTTGCCGGTGGAGCGGGTACGGCGGCCCAGTGTACGGCCCGTCCACCACTCGTGACGGCAGCCAGCAACCGCTGACGGCAACCGCAGGACGACCACACGCTTGCACTCGCTATGCCGCCCGCCTGATGGAATTAATGGTAACATTTTGTCGTGTTAAAATAGGATCTGATTAAAATTAATGGTTTAACCCTACAGAGTTGTCTTAACCTACTCAAAAAAAAAAGTCAAAATCATTTATTTCAATTAGACCAGAAAGGCACTTTTGAACATCAATAATAAAACTATCTATTGGTTTTAGCAACACATTCGGTTTTTAAATACAAAACAAATAAAATTTCGAATTTGTAGTTATTGGGTTGCAAAATAACTGAAATGGAATGACTGAAATGTTACAATTTACTAATCTAGGTATTTCTTGAAATCATAATACACAATTCTGACTATTATCTGAGAAACATGTGTTACCAGTATCCCAGTATAGTCCGATTCGTGAATAATTTGGGTACAAATAAAATCCAAATCCCATCGTAATAGAAAATAGTGTAATAGTGTCATAATCGTTATATTGTCGTTTGGTTTTGGAGTCCAGCAGTGATATGAATACGACGGCAGGCGGTGGGAGATGCAAATAACTATATAATCGCTTTAGAGTACTTACGAATTTCTAAACAAACTTACCATTTATTTACAATATCTACTCAAGACAGTCGCGAAATAATTAAAGACTAAAGTTTTGCAAAGCACTTACAGATTGGTTTCGTGTAAAGCATCATTAATAATTTAAACCGAAACTGTAAACTGAACGCATCAACAACTATTAACTTAGTACACTAACATAAACTATGGAACTTCACTAAACTTCAGAACTAAACTGAGCTCTATTAACACCAAATAAATGATTGGCGCAGTGGTTCTATCGACTACTGCTGCATTTCTTTCATATGCAGTATGTTAAAAGTCAAAGTCAAAGCATTTATTTCAATTAAACCATAGTTTGGTACTTTTGAAACGTCAACAAATACAAAATAAATAAGTCTGTCAGTCACTCCGTCAATGAAACTTACCGTTACATCTACTTTTATTATCTTGTTTTAGTTTTATAATTTAGCTTTTTATCCTTCTCTCTCTCTCTCTCTCTCTCTTACTCTCTCTGTCTTGTTTTAAACCTTTATACTGTTATTTCATTAAATTGTATATTCTTTTTTTGTTCCTGGCATTCATGCCGTATGCCAAATAAATTACTTTTTTATTCCATTTCATTTTCATTTCGTTTCATTTCAACTATATTTGCAGGAGAAAATCCTATTATAAAGCTTCTTTAAAAACTTATCTAGTTAAATTAGGTACTGTAAAAAAATCATATAAGAGTTATAAACAAGAATGTTAAAAGAAAGTCGGACGTATACTCTTAAAACAACGGCTGTGGCTGGTTACTAGATTTACACGCGAACATACACACATTGATATAAACGACATCCATGATTTTCTTAAGTCTGGTAACGTAACGCACGCACACATAAATAATCCACTGACATTTTAATGGTTTAATCATTTCTAAGTGACATTATCATCATCATCATCAACAGTCGAAAGACGTCCACTGCTGGATGAAGGCCTCCCTCTTAGTCCTCCACGTCGAATGACAACTGGTCGCCTGCATCTATATACTGGCTCCCTGCAACTCTAGTGATGTTGTCAGTCCACCTAGCAGGAGGCCTACCCACGCTCCGGTCCATGGTCTCCACTCAAGGACTTTTCTGGGCCATCTGCCGTCAGTGACATACACTAGCTTTTACCCGCGGCTTCGCTCGCGTCACAAAAGGATAAAAAGTAGCCAATGTGACATATACCAATACACACAGCGCCAACTATACCAATAATTTCGTTTTCCCTCGAGAATATCAAATTTTTTTGTAACAAGTACCCTATTATTTAATCCAGACTTCTAACTTTACGTCTGCAAAAATTCAAAGCAATCGGTTTAGTACAGTAGTTGTTTAACAAACAAACTCACTTTCCGAAGAAATAGAAAGAAGTCAGTAATACCTGCAAAGGTGTAGGTAAATTTTCGACGAGAAGGTAGCATTTCGATGTTGAATTCCATCGGCGAATCCTTTCCCGTGCCAACACGTAATGGGTTTCAATCTCCTTTCCTTCAACAGCCACTAACTCCGCCTGCAACAAAATTAATAGCAATGTTTATTTTTGTCTGTTCGTGTATCGTGGCCTGTGTTGGGTTCTTGCACTCCTTATTATTAAAATTGAGTTCTATAACTGCGTCTATGAATGTATTAAAATCTTTTTATTTACATAACATAACATAGCATCACGCCTTTTACCTCCGAAGGTGCAGAAGGTGCAGAGATGCACATTATGCCATTGTATAATGTAACACCCACTTTTCATTATTTATGTTATGAGTCCCATGTAATAGGGGGTGAGCCTATTGCCATATACCGGACACAATTCCAGAGTCCGTGCTACTACTGAGAATTTTAAAAAACCCATTAATACTTTGCCCGACCCGGGAATCGAACCCGAGACACCTTGCACCTTGTCGCACTTGCGACCACTTGGCCAACGAGGCATGCTGTTTTTTAGTTACATGTAGGCATGTCTAAATTAAGAGTGACAAGAAATATAAATAACATTGTAAATACAAATCAAAATGCGAAAGAACTAGTAAAATACCAGCATACATTCTGCAATGCTCTTCGAGAACGACAAAAAGAAAAACCTATTATGTCGAAAATCATTATACCGTTAATATTATGATTCACTGACCAAAATCACTCAGAAACTAAGCACCATTATTAATTCCTAGAATTTCTAACAAATTGCTGTACTAGGAATTCAAAACAAAGGATTAATTTCGAGTCTAATTGTCAACATTTGCATGCACAATGCACAGTGGGCTACTGACACAATCAATGGCGGATATTATTACCGCCGTGATTGTGATATTCCAGCCAAGCTAACTCATTCAAATACTATATTATATGGGTAAGTACGAGTAGAGGCGTAGGTTTGTCATATACTATACATCAGTAATGTTTTATTGGTACGTATATCCAGTAAAACTGGATGTGGTGGAAAAGATTCCTGATTTATCAATCCGGCAAGGGGTCTCGGGTTCGATTCCCGGGTCGGACTCATAACATAAATAGTGAAAAGTGGATGTTACATTGTACAATGGCTAATGTGCACCTCTGCCTATCCCTACGGGGATAAAAGGCGTGATGTTATGTTGTATAAAGTTTAAAATCATTGCCATCGTGATCATTCACAGGTTTTGTTGTTACAGGTTTTGTTTATTTCTCCTCCTGTTTCAGAATATCAGAACGCCAAATATTTACAGTTCGTACAACGCTTTTACTGAGAAATACGAAAATGGAATTCCAAAAACTTCACACAATACTTTTCTCTATTTACTATTCCGGAAAATACGTGTCAATACTATAGGTAGGCAGTTTCATACGTAGTCGACAATCATACTATACGCTATCGCAATCGCAACATGTAATCAATCAGACGAAGTCTTAAACGAATTGTATTATATTATGTGCTGTACCTTTTATCTCAAATTTCATTGAGAACATGATAAGATTTCAGATTTGACGAAAAGAAAATTAGAACAGGAAAAAGATTATGAAAAATAAAATCTGTTAAATGTTTAAAAACACTAGCAAACGTACAATTTACTGTTATACATATTACCATTAGAAAAATAAAAGAAAAAAAAACCTTAAAAAAAACCATCAGTTAGGTGTCAAATAATTCGTCCGCATCACTATCATTGAGGATCGTGCCCAGAAGACTGGCAGCATTGCTACGTTAAATGACAATGCTTATTTTCTACATAACATAACATCACGCCTTTTATCCCCGAAGCGGTAGGCAGAGGTGCAAAATTACGGTACTTAATGCCACTGTATAAGCACCCACTTTTCACTATTTATGTTATGAGTCCATGTAATAGGGGGTGAGCCTATTGCCATATACCGCGCACATTTCCAGACTCCATGCTACTACTGAGAATTTACAAAATACCATGTAGTATGTTGTCCGACCCGGGAATCAAACCCGACACTCCTTACCCAGCAGTCGCACTTGCAACCAGACCAGTCGGCCAACGAGGCAGTGCTTATTTTGTATCAAAGTCAAAGCATTTATTTCAATTAAACCATTTATCCGAAGAAATAACCAGCTGGAGAAATTAATTATTATAATTATGAAATTCACATTATATTTTGTAGGTACCTGTCTTCCTATATGAGGTATAAAAGTATCGATGCTGATATATGATGTACATAGATCTATGTATGTACCTTCATGTACGTACTCTTTTTAACCTTAGCCAGCAAGAGGTCAACGACCACGTTCGTACTATAATAGCGTTCGTTTTTTGCCGTCAATAGAATTCGCAGAAAAATATCATAACTAGGTACATAATTATTTGCTTTGCAAAACCACATAGAGGTACTTTTATAGGTTGTGCTAAAATTATTTTTACAAAGGTTAGGTGTGTTAATAGTAAATATTAACTTTTATTCTGTAAAATATGTTATTAATTGAGCTAAATGTCACAATAATTTTTGATCTTTTGAAATCATCAATTCCTAAGTCATCAATTTCGAAAGAAATAGGTTTTTTTTCTCTATTTGATGGGCCGACGTTTGATTACTATCTCGCCTGGAAGTAAGCGATGATGCGGTCTACGATGGAGCACGTCGTCCCATAAGTAACCTATTCACTCAGGCCTTGAAGAAACCCAGCTTATACCCTTCAGCAAAAACAGACTCTGGAAAACAATTCCAGTTTCCGTCGTTTACCCATAAAGACACTATAATTTCCTTTATTGTTTAAACTAGCGAACTAGCGGCTTCGCAAAGGTTCAATATTATTTAATTTATATAAGCCTTCCTTAAAAATCACTCTATCTATTAAAAAAACCGCATCAAAATCCGTTGCTTAGTTTTAAAGATCTAAGCATACATAGGGATAGACAGACGGCGAATACCGAATTTGTTTTATACTATGTAGTGATGAACAAGCAGACCCGTATACGAAAGTTGTATTCTGATAAAATAAAATAATATATCATGTACGATATGACGTCACATAATATGGGCGAGACTGACTAAGTACCCACTGATAACGCTCTCTGAACTAACAAAATTATCAATGAGTACTAATATTATGATGGTTTGTATTTTATTGGTGCTTGTACGTATATTAGCGTAAAATATATTAGCTTGTATAGGTCATAACTTGATAAGTTTTAAATTAGAGAATTAATCAGCGTTTTGACTGGATTACATCTAAAGTTAAATTTGAATCAGGCATTTATTTCAATTATATAAGATGCATTTTTGCATATTCAAGGACTAAGGAGGACCTAATGACTTAAGCCAATTTCTACTTTAGGTACTTCACAATCCACATCAACAACACAGGATTCTGTAATCACTTATTATTGTAACTTATTGTGCACTATGTAGTCTTCTTCATCTGACTTTTGACGAAAAATATTGACATGTAATTCATTAAAACACGACAAAGTCATCATATTTACATTCCTAACTAATAAATTGATTAATAAGAAAGTTCTTAAACGATTATTTGTATGCTTAAAATAGGCTGATCATAATACCAACTTTACCTAGTTTTATTTTTGAGGAGGAGAAATCATTCAATGGCTCCCGCCCTGTGTGTGGCGAGAGGGAATGTCAGACTCTTATTGACTAAAAACCACCCCGTTCTTACTTCTGCTCGGCTTTTCTTCGCGGAACCTTTATCTAGTTTTTTTAAGGGAGAAAATCATCGAATTACTGCTCCCGCCTGGGTGAGGCGGGAGGGAGTGTCAGACTCTTACTGACTAAAAACCACCCCGTTCCTTCTCCTGCACGTCGAGCCGGAGCCCCGGTTACCCGTTAGGTTCTCCGGGACACCTTTACCCAGTTTAAGATTCAAAACTAGTTTCTTGCTCATCGGAGTAACATTTACGACCATGAATCCATAAAGCAATTTTATACACATCCATAACAAAAACAATTACCAAAACAGGAAACGAATACTTGGCAAAATTCTGGACACATTCAAGAAAATATAAGCAGTGATCATTCCAAATAAACACATTTATATTCCTCTTCTAGGGTACACATCAAGCTAAACATATCCAGTATAAGCTGACCTATGAATGTATGGCACGATCATACGAAACGGGACTAAGATAAACTGGTTACGTATAGCTCGATTTGCAGCCTCTTGGCAAGCTTTTTCTATGAATCATGTTTGAAAAACAGCGGATGTTTTGGATGAATGAACCTATATTTTAGACAGGAACATTGAATATTTGTTATTACAATTTAGTATCATAGAACTGCATCATCAGTTAAACAGAAGGCCTTTTCTACAAAAGAGGGGCTTATCATAATCTTCACGGTTGACAGATGGATTGGAGATATATATACATAGCTTCACACCTGTCTCACATAGTTGTAGGCAGAGACTATGGAACGCTAGTTACTACGATTCCTACATACCCCGTTCGCTTCATCAACAGTCATCAATCTTTTCATGCATGTCCTTGTTTCATAGGATTGGAGATGACAGTCCAAAAGGATTAATTAATCAAATAGTGCTACTGCCCGGACTCTTAGAGTAGTAGTTGGCTCTTATGATTCCCGCGGGAAGAGCTGGGGTGGTGACGTCACCAAAAACCCATGTATCGTATATATATATATGACCCCTATTTCACAAAGGAAACTAGATATTTGAATTTACAATTTAGTATTGTGAAACAATTTAGTCATTAGGTCATATTGCACAATATTTCGACATCATTGCGAATATGGTGAAATGTTGCGCAATATTTGTTTCCTTTGTTCTTTCGTTCTTCTAGTTTTTGTCTAAGATCTTCTAGTAGGTATAGTTCTGTTGACTACTTTTTTATTAAAAATGTCTTAGGTAGTATGACCAAATTATATTACTTTTAGATTTTACGAAGTTCTAGAAAAAGTAACATAAAAATTAAACCAATCTTATCAATTTCGCCGAACAAACATTTTTATTAATAGCGAAATCTTAGAACTGTTATTAATTAAATAAGAAAATATTTTCGGCCAAATAATCGTCTCTAAGTCCATGTAATAAAGTTGGAATTCCCATGGTTC